TTATACAGATATCCTGATTAAAAATTATGTGAAAAAGTACGAATTCTGTAATAAACAACTAAGTTGTAAAAAAAATACATAACACGGACGATGTCAAATCACGTACTGATCACGTGACAATGCTTTGCCCACACCCGCAATGCGCCAGGGAAGGAGACCAATTCACACCTAATACAATGATCGTTTCTAGACCGGGGATAGAGGGACTGTGTTTTAACCAACTTACATGACATTCTATGTTATATTGACTTTATCATATGAAAGTTTATGGTGCATTTCATCAATTAATAAATAAATGTGAAAATCGTAATTTTCAACACAAATAATAGTCTCGCTACCTTAATCTTAATAAGGTATGTTGAATACTATTCAATACACAAAGGTTTCATTATTGAGTAAGTGGTCCTGATGCCTCAGTGTTACCGTATGGTGTATCCTATTTCACCACGCTTGTACCATATGTGGAAAGTATAAATTTAATCAGCTTTAGAAAATTCTTTATTGTGACATTATGAATAATTTATTCTCAATAAAAAAAAATTCTGTGTTTCCAGCAACCTACCTGTACTTTTTGTGTAATTGAAAAGTTTATTTTATGCAAATGGGTACACAGTCATTTATTTTTATGCAAATTAGCCTGAGTTATTCTACTCAGTTTTTTTTTTTATTTCATGTACCGCTACTTCTTTCTACGTAGTGAATGACTAACACTTAATTTTATTAAGGAAATACATCCTGAAAACAAACATAGAGGTAATTTTTCACATCTTTCGTTAAACCCTAACAAAAACTTAAAGCAGAGGGGTCTTCAACTGCGCATGCACGATAATTGTGTTCTAAGCGACGATGACAACGCATGCTAAAACATGAAGGCTTATAGGTAAATGTTAGTTTGTAAATAATGACACAATATGGCCGTTTGCCACATGCACAGATTACAACTCTCCCACTTCAAAAGTAGAATTTACCAACACCATATTTGGAGGTAAATTACATCTCTATCGTGTATATACTACTTTTGTCAACTAGTTTTGTTATAATTGAACTAAACATATGTACATCGTTAGTGTCAATATGGGAAAAATGAAATTTGTCACCATCTCTTGGTTGGTGGAATATAAAGGCTATTATTGCATCTTATTTTGTTTCCTTTGTTTTGAGTCTAACTGATCAACCTTTTCTATGCAGATGGAACACGATTCTATCTTTTTTTCAAAATTTTTTTTTTTATTCTATCAGCAGTGGATGCATTTACATTAAACACAGAAGTGTGGCTATGATTGTCATGTTTTAATAATCCAATACTGTAAATGTAATTATTCACTGGGTTTTAATTTCGTTATTTTACCGTACCCTCTAAATTAAATCTATGTGAACATGTAAAATAACAATAAAACTCATTGATTTCTTGACAAATTTGCGAAATTAAAACACAGTGAAATTGCTCAAAACATCAAAATAGTGAAATTAACTGTCAGTGAAAATAAATGATTTTACAGTATATAATAAATGCTAGGTTTGGTTTATGAATGCTTTTATAAATAAATAAATAAATAAATAAATAAATAAATAAATAAATAAATAAATAAATAAATAAATAAATAAATAAATAAATAAATAAATAAATAAATAAATAAATAAATAAATAAATAAATAAATAAATAAATAAATAAATAAATAAATAAATAAATAAATAAATAAATAAATAAATAAATAAATAAATAAATAAATAAATAAATAAATAAATAAATAAATAAATAAATAAATAAATAAATAAATAAATAAATAAATAAATAAATAAATAAATAAATAAATAAATAAATAAATAAATAAATAAATAAATAAATGAATAAATTAAATAAATAAATAAAGGGACAAACATAAATAAACATACAAACAAATACACAAATAAATTAAAATATTTTTTTGAATTATTTGCATTGAACAAGAACTTTTATGAAACTTTACTGTGTAAAAATGTTTCATTGAAAACTAAAAAAACATCATTTTTTTTCACCTGCTGTACAGATCAGTAATGTTTGACCGAGCGGAAACTGTCATGCATGATAGATTTGGAGGTAAAGACTACTGGGATGTAAGTGTATATTTATTTTTCTCTACTTTTCTTTATCTTTTTTTTAATTTTATACCAGGTCAGTTTTTGTTGACAGAGCTGAAGAAATACTGCACGATGAATTTGGTGGAAAACTGTATTGGGATGTAAGTCTACAATTTTTGATTAAAATACATATATCGCAAATATGGCATCTTAGTTATTTTGAATTGCAGAAAAGTTTGCCATATGACACATCTATCTAAGATTTTGTCGTTTTTACTCCAAAATATTGTTTGGTTCTCTCACATTATGAAGTTCACTGTTTCCTTGATCTATGTATAATCATTGAATTTGGAATAGTAGGCTTAAAAAAAAAAATTGAAAACTATGGCCATTTTTGTCCCAGTTCTATTGTGCATTGTTTGATATTACTTGATGTCCAAATGTTTCCGTTCCCTCACAGTCTTGTGTTTCTCACTGTATTGAATACAAAAAAAAAATCTGTTTGCAATCATGTGATTATCATATATTGGGGTCAACGTATTTCGGGTTCCAGGATATGAAAATCAACTTACGTCTGTATTCATCCCAACATTATAAGTTTTCTTCAATTGGGGTAAACTACATCAACAACATTGAACTTGTTCACATTTGAACACTTCATTTACATGAGATGCAGTTCTATATTGCATAACGGAAATAGAATCACGTCACTAAATGCAAACTTTCTTGTTTTATCTCCGTAATCCATTACTGCAGACAGGAAATAGATGTGTATGAGAAAGTATGCACTTAGGCTGTACAGGATCACATCAACCTGGCTATGCATCAGGCATTACGATCACCATACTGCCTTTATTCATACTTTGCGGTATTTGCCGGACAACCCCATATCAGCAAATAACACTTCAAATATTTCTTGTAATTTTCATACCTGTCCATTGTATAACTTAGTGTTATTTCTGTACACAAGGCGCGACGCAGTATGAGATTTTCAAAAGACCTTAGAGACATTGCAGATAAGTTCAGAAAAGAATATCTAGATTCAGATGATGAAAGAGACAATACTGTGTTACTAGATGACTGGAGAGACATGAAGGTAATGTACTGACAACAGGGTTTTGTGATGTCAAATAATTGTTCATTATTTTCTTCTCTTTCACTAATGATAAAACAGTTTTAGTGACAGTAACTATATATGCTACATTGTTTTTATTGGCATTTTTGCAAAAAGGAAAGAAAATTGCAATATTGAAAATTATAAGTCCAATCAACGAATTTAAATATACTGTAAGGCTAATAAAAAAGTTAAAAATTAGTTCCTGACCTGCGATTTTCAAAATTGGTAGGTGACTTTTTTTCCCTCGTTTATTTCTTTTTTGGTTACAGTACATGTATTTTAACAGAAACCAGAAAAAAACTGATGCACGCACTGACTAGGAGCAAATCCTACAGATCGTGTTAGTCTAACATCCACTTTATATGAAGCAAATATGTTTTCCTAATGTTTAATCTTCCTCTCTTTTAGCAATATTACCCAGTAATGTGTTGTGTATGTTGCTATGAGTCCCATATTGAACAGGAAGTGGCACGTAAATCGCTGCTCTTTAACATGTTTTTAAATGTTGACTATTTTCTCAGAGAATATTTCACAGTTTAAAATTAGTTTTAGCCGTGAGAAATGTTGATTTAACACATTTCCTAGTCTCCATGGATAGCTGGTATACATAGTATAAAACAACAAGAGCAGCCAATGTCTTAAATGGTTAATAGACCTTAGGTCAAGATTTTACAAAGAATGACTGCATACTTCTGTATATGTATAATAAACTTACTTAAGTTTTTCAGGCCAAGGATATAATTATAAAATTGAGAGATTAGAAAATAAAACCACATCACAATTCCCAATTACTGGTCATGAAACCACTCACTTCATTTTGTCCCTATGCATTCATGTATACCAAGTATAAAATCTGACTGACAGCCATTTAACCTTTTCATTACAAATTCGCAAAATCGTCGCGTTTATAGTCTGCACTTTCCTTCAGAAGACAAAAATCGTCAAATTCTTTTAGTATTAAAAACCAAAAATTGACTTAAATTTTGAATGTTGGCTTCAAAATTGGGTTCATTTCTATAGGTACTGAGGAATATAAGAAAAAAGTGCAGAAAAAGTTGGGCGAGAAAGTCTGGTGGTGCAAAGGTTAAGTACAGGTAGCTTCACATTGATTCTATGTGTGCAGGTGTATTTATAATCTTAAACATTTATTCATGATTACAGCCAGACCCAGGCAGTGCCATCGGTGGACCATACATGGCTGTACATCTAAGAAGAAAAGATTTTGTACACAGTCATAAAAAAGATGTCCCATCATTAAAAGAAGCTGCCAAACAAATTAAAAAAGTATTGAAGAAAGAGAAATTAGACAAATTATTCGTAGCAACGGACGCACCAAAAGTAGGTGAGTACATATCAAATCTAGATATCCATGTCTTGTAATTTACAGTTAAATTTTGGTCTCTATTTCATGCATCAGTCAATAAGGTTTTTAGCTGGGCTGCTATCTACCTGTCATTTTAAACTGGCACTTTACAGTTTAGACCCTGTCTGTATTTGATTACAATTTTCCTATTATTTACAAAATAAAAAAAAATGAAAATACGGTGATAAAAAACAAAAACAAAACGTCATTCATACTTGATCTAATGTATGGCATTACAGAATGCCTTATCAACCATGGAAGGGTTCAATGGTGGAAACAGAAATGAGTTCAACTGATTAGGCATGCAATTCTATCCGGGACAAAATACAAAATGCCTTAGTATTTTCAATTTTTTTTTTATTTGATTTGTCATGTCTTTTCCTCATTTCTCAACAGTTGCCTGCCCTTACCAGTTTGTTTGCATTTGACTGTAATTATCTGATACCATTCTCAAATGCATGAGGGCGCTGTTCATGAAATATGTCATTCTTTAATTTACAGAGCTAGATGAACTAAAGAAATTAATGAAAGGCAAAGCTACAGTGTACAACTTTGAGCCAACTAAAGAC